GCAGAGAGAGAAGTGGGATCTGAGAGAGAAAACTACCCGGCACGCCAGTCAGTGAGGAGAAGCAAGAGGAAGGAGGTGTCCTGGAATTTCCCCTGCAGCGTGGTGAAGATTCATGGTGAAGCACGGTTTGTCCCTTGGTGCAGCCCTGAGAAGTCTGGAGGACCCCATGCTGGAGCTGAGCAGTCATCGGGGGACTGTGGCCCTGTGTGGGAAGGACTCACGCCGGAGCAGTTCTGGAGAAGGACTCTCCCGTGAGAAGGGACCCCACGCTGCAGCCGGGACAGACTGTGAGGAGCCCTCCCCTGAGGAGGAAGGAGCGGGGACTGACTGCACCCCCCATTCCCTGCCCCCTGTGCCGCCGGAGGGAGAAGGGACAGAACAAAGCCTTTGGGCCTGGGAAGAAGGGAGGGGTGGGGGAGAAGTGCCTTTCTAAGATGTGTTTCTCTCTCTCAGTATCTTGCTTCTTGGTTTTGAATGTAAATAATTTCAATTCTTTGTGTGTGTGTGTTTTCCCAAGCTGTGTGGGTTTCTTGCCCATGACCCTAAGTGGTGAGTGAAGCCCTCCCTGACCTGCCTCAGCCCCACAGGTGTTTAACAAGACTGTCTGGTGGCCTTTTAAATTAGGACAGCCTGTGCTTAGTGTTTCAGGCTGCATCTCTTTGGCTGTTCCTTTCCCCACCCTCCCTCTCCAGCTAACTGGCTTCTTTCTCTCTGCCTTCCTTTTTTTTCACCTCAAACTGGGTGTCTTTGTGTGGGACAGAACTTCTGCCTCGACTGGTGCAAACAGCCGGACGTTGGACTCCCAAAGCCAGATCTGATTCTGTTTCTTCAGTTAAGCCCCGAGGAAGCAGCGAAACGAGGAAACTTTGGAAATGAACGTTATGAGAACAGCTCCTTCCAAAAGAAAGTTCTACAGTCCTTCTCTCATCTGATAAAGGACAAAACATTAAACTGGAAGGTGAGGAAATAACCCTAATGGGCCTGTCACAGACTAGGGTGGGGGTCTCTCATGAGAGGTCCTGAATTGTGCCCATCACATCCCCGTGTTCCCCCTTCCTGCTCCTGGTCAGGGGGATAGGTTGGGGGCCACCTAAAGGGCACTCTGTGGCCGAGAGGAGGGGTCCCTGTTCAAGGACACCCCCCAGGACCACATTGGGGTGGGGGGCAGATTTGTGGTTGGGGGGTTGATTTTGCAAAAGAGCATTCTGGCAATTATTCTCTTCCTTAAAGACAAACTGACAAAGCTGGGTGGGAAGCAGTGGGATGCACCCGTGTTCTTCCCTGCATGTTTCCTGAGCATCCTGCAGCATCTCCCCAAAGGTTTTTTGGGGCCTTCCTGCAGCTTGTTGTGTCCCTTTCTGATGATCACCTTCCTTCTCACATGCCAGTTTCCATCTGCACGTGCTGTCGTACTGCTACCAGAAGTCTCTCCAAATAGACAGTCTTTTTTGTTCCATGCTACTGCATCACTTTTCTTTCTTGTTCATCCCTTGGCGTGGTTTCTTCCACTGCAGAAATAGTGCACAGGAGGTGTAATTAGATCCTTTCTCATGAATAGTAACTATTGAGTAAAGGGGGGAGCAGAACTAACAGCTAAGTGTGTTCTTTGCATTTGGTGTTGGAAATTGAAGAACATTTCTGTATTTTTTTTGTCTTGGAAACAGACAGTTGATGCTTCAAAGAACATAGAAGACTTGCATAGAGAAATCAAGTCTCTTGCAGAGGAAATCATGCAGGAGGTTCAGAACAAACCTTTGGGAGAACTCTGGAAATAAAACTTTATACAGGTTATTCTTTTAGACCTAAGGCAGAACTCACCTCTTGTGTGACTGCCCTACATCACCTGCCAGTATCAACAGCTTAGATCCCGTGTATTCTGGGTCCGGCATGGTGCTGATGTCCTTGGGATTTTATCTGCACAGTCCCTGCTGTATTTTATAAATGAACATGTAACAAGTTCCTTATAAAAGCCTCCTTACCTCATGTAGGAGCTCTTGTTCCAGCCCCAGTCCTGCAGCGCAGATGTGGGTGCGGAGCCCAGGGCAACCCCTGGACATGGGCAGCAGCAACACGCAGGCAACAGCCTTCCCCTTTCTGGGGAACTGACATGTTTCTGGTTCTTCTGCCTCTCTAGTAAAATGTATCCCCTATGGTAAAACCAGTTGGTAGAGGACTTGCTAATAAATTAGTCTTTTAAACATTTTGCATGTGGCATTTCTTTTTTTTTTTTTTTTCAGATATGATAATTTATCTTCTAGAAGGATATATAGGACGTGAAGGTGCTGCAATTCAGGCACTAAATCCAGGGAGACCGGTTTGCTAGAGCTGCGGCATGGAGAGATTCAAGTCTGCTCCCCAGCTGTTCAGTGAGAGCAATACAAAAACTGAACTGCTCTGAGCGGCTAAGGGTCTGAGATGGATGTATTAGCTCATAACGAGAAGGATGAGTGGCACATCAGTTATTTTAGACTGGCCAAGTTACTCCTGTGGCCAAGATCAGAGGAGCAGTCACCTGTGACTCCTACACAGCCCCCAGTGCAATACAAACAGCGCAGCACAGGCTGCCAAACCTGACCAGCCACTCGTTCTGCTACTTCATCAGCAATAAAGCTACAATAAACCGGAATGTTAAATCAAATTATTTGCAAGGTACGCTGAGATATGGGGATGACCAGGAGAGTTAATGCCTCTATCAGCTGGACAGTTAACTCACCTTTAGCAGCGTGGGCTGGACTGATCCCCAAGCTGGCCAAGGCAGAGACTAAATCCTGCTCTAACTCTTAGAGGCAGATTGAGTCGATAACACTAGCAGGGAGAGGAGGGTAAACGTCTAAAACACAACTGCTAATGCAAGCATCAGCCAAAACGGAAAAAGCCGCGCTGCCTTCACTCTGCAGCTGCAGCACACATGGTAGCAGGAAGGCTCCTGGTGAAGGAAGTGAGCACCTGTAACGCTGCATCAGGCCCTTCCAGCAAGTCTACAACACACAGAGAAGTCCTTTCATTCATATTACCTTTAGGCTCCTGACTAAAAAGACAGAAATACCTGTTAAAGATCTAAGAAAGCTGAGCTCAGCTCTGTTATTCAGGTTGTGTTAACCCTCAGGTAAAATCTTGTCTGGCTGAGCTGTCCTTAGCCATAGAAGCATGAACATGAAATAAGCAGTAACTCCTCTTGGCTGAACATGTAACTGGAAAGCAGCAGGTACAAAGGAAGAGGGAGAAGCAGCCAGCCTCTATCCTATCACATACACCAAGAGGAAGATAAAGCCACTGTTGCACACAGCTGAAGTTTTGCTCCCATCTGCCTTCGCTGCCCTAAAAGGGTGAAAACTGCAATTGTTTCGCCAGTGTTCCCAACCGCAGTGCAGGGTTGCTGGATACCACCTGCCACCACCTTCAACTCACGTGCAAGAACAGGAGGACAGGCAAAGATTTTAGATCTGTTTATTCAGATACAAATTGAAAGCAGATGAATGGAGCACAGCCCCACTTCCTCTGCTGCCTCTTCCCCTAACTATGAGAGAGAAGAGGAGAAGCAGGCAGAAAGCAGCAAATAATAATTTAGTGAACAGAAGCATCGTGGTTCCCAGTTCAAACCTCCGCTTTTGGATAGCACAGGGACAGTTAGAGCATCAGCAGGTCAGTGACGGGGGAAATGGGTCATTTCTAGCCAGCTGTCACCACCCTTGGGCACAAAAGCATCAACTGACAGGTTCCAATCCTAAATGTACAAAACAAAGCCTTGTAAACGGGTTTGCAATCTGCAGCATGCACTAAAGAAACTACTTCAGCAACTTCTGTTGCAGTTTGCCTTAAGACAACTCTCCTCCAGGCTTTACCTTCCTCTGAATTCACTGCGGAGAAGGGCCCCAGGCAGAGCTATCATCATAAAGGAGCTAACTAACCCCTTCTGACTGGGAAAGGGAATGTCGAACAGCAGCTGGAGGAACTGCTGAACAACCTACCGAGGACACCTTGAGGAATTTTATGGCTCACATTTTTGGTACCAACAGGATGAATTCCCTGGATGCCATGCCAGCACACTGGGGCACAGGCACATGACTGGCAGATCTCAGTTGTCCTGTTCCACTTCTCCCAGCTGTGGACTACTTTTTTTCCCCAGGGCTATGGAATCCAGTTCTCTGCTTGAAGCAGCTTTCCTGAAGATAAGTGCTGTAGAGATTAATCCATTGTAGAAGCACAATGCTTTATCAACTCACCCAGCAAGAACACACACATTTTCTATTCTTCCCTTCTTTCTGCTGTTATTTAAACTGAGCTGGAGATGTTCCTCCCCAGCAGCATGGGTCTATGCCATACTTTTTCAGACAGCCTTTCCCCACTTTGAATCACCGGTCAACTTCCTTTTCATAGGAGGGGAGCAGGGGAGGGGTACTACGCCTGCGAGGAAGCGCTGTGTACTGCAAAGCATGAACTGTCGGAAGCCCGGGCACCTGCACTCCAGGGGCTTTGCAGCTGTCACGGGGGGACACGTCTGCTGTTCGTTTGCATTGTGAGCTGCAGTCCCAGCTGGCCAGTGAAAAGAGGAGCTGATAAGGGAATTAACTGTACATTTCACCTCCTAAATGACGGGTGGCTTTATTTAAGCTTGCAAGGGGAGTCACCATGTAAAGATTTAGCGCTCTAACAATTCCTCTGCGTCCCCAGAAGGCCAACTGACCTGCTGATGTAACAGATAGGCTTTGAACGCCTAAGCACCACTGCATCCACTTCCAGCAACTGTTTTCTGCTGAGAAATTCCGACTCCAGCCAGTAAGGCTGTAATACCCACTTGGTTCTTCATCCCAACGCAGACAATGCGCGCTCCACTCAGAGGCTGCACAGAATGCCAGGATGGACAAGAGGCGGGGATGGCAGCAAGCACCTATGAAAACCGGTAGCCCCAGGCTCTCGAAGGAGCTTCCCTCCCCCCCCTTCTCCCCACACATAACACAAATTTGCAGAGTCAGTTTCCTAATTTTTTTTCAAAGGGATAAGATTTCAAAGTCTTCATCTTCCGAGTCAAAGAACCTTTCCAATCTGTCAGCATCAGAGGAGTCTGCAAGAGAAAAGGAAAGCACTGTCTCCATGGGATGCACTTACTGCTCAGCACCCAGCAGCTGGAGGGCAACAGAATCTGAGTGTCAAGTGCCCACAAGTTCCCAGAGGCTCTGAGGAGGGATGAGAACATGTCAGTAGCATGGAAAATGCACTAGAGAGAATTACAGAGTGTGCAGAAGATGCGCCACATTTCCCAGATCTCGAACGCAGCCCTGCTGCAGTGCAACTCTGTGCTGGGACTGTTTTGTACAGCCTTCCTGTGCAGCAGCTCTGTACGAGCAGGGGACAGTTCTGCCTCAAGAAATCTGCCCAGGTCTGGACTAATATCCACAAAGATTTCTGTCCCAATTAAGTGATATGGGAACATTCCTTTTTCCATGCATTAGAATATGTGACTTGTTTTCTGCTATAGTTGCCTTTGGTCCAGCTGCTGGGGAATGTAATTACACAACATACACTCTCCCAAAAGCAATTAGTACAGTCCATTCTATGAGGAAGGGTAACGTCCTTGGTCCCTCCTACCCATCCTTCCAATGCTATGGTGAGGAGGGAGAACATACCTAAAGGGGAAGGAACTTTACCGTAGGGGAAACTCAGGTGAGAACGTATGGGCAGACTGGGGAAGTAAAGGAGAAACCTGCATTAACTCAGGCTTCAAGAAAGCATACACCGGCCTTGACAGAACAGCCAGCCAAAAGCTAAACAGCAGTAACTGATGGCTGGGGACAGAGGACAAGCGCAAGGCTGCAGCCCCTTCCCCCCTGAGCATTTTGTGACAAGCTTTAATCCCCCAGTAGAGTGTGCAAACGCTCAGCATCACTGTTCTTGATCAAACTGCAGTGCCCATGAGCACTGGCAGCACAAGTTCCAGAGGTGCTCTTCGGAGGAGCTGCCCTCGTTGCTGAAGTGACACAGCAGAGAACCCAGCTGACGGGGGAAATAAGGACAAGGGGCTACACACTGATGAGAGTATGATCAATCCTTCTAGCGACGGGTAGGACTGTAAGAGAAAGGCTCTACAATCTAGGGATGGGGGAGAAGGACAAGTAGCCCATTACAAAAATATTTTTAAGAGTAAGAAAGGCAGCAATTAGGGACAATACAGGCAAGGGTTTAAGGGAATCAAGCGTTCTTCCAGAAAAGGACAGCAAGATAAGGAAGGCTTTGAAAGTTCATGGTAAGGGAGAGAGAGAGAAGGGGAGAGATAGCAAAGAAGCATGAGGCACAGGAGGCAAGTGACAGGACACAGTCCAATGTCTGGTGACAGGGTAAGTTTGTCCACGCATACTCACTCCTCTCAGCAGAAGCTGTCAATAGCTCTTTATCTCCTCCAGTGTTTGCGCAGGTTATTAGCAGAAGCAGAGCCTGACAGCCAAGATACTGCCCAGCACTTGTTCCTTTTTGCATTGGTAGTGGTACGTGCACAGGGAAGGAGTGCCTTGCCCTGGAACCAAGTTTGACCAGCCCTGTCTTTGACCATTTTCATTACCTAGAAACTTGTTTTCAGCCTTTTTTTCAATGGACCCTTTTGATTCCTCCAAGCATCCCTTTACAAATCCTAGATTCACGTTGCTGTGATAGCTTATAAACTTGTTTTTTTCTTCCCCTCAGTCACCATCACCATTCACAGACTCATTCTAAGAACAGTCCTGAGACACTGTGGGATCTGCAAACCACTAGCTGAAAACCAAAGAACTAGATCAATTGACCT